TAGTGGCTCAAAGCTAATGAGAATAATTAGCACTATGATGCTTTCCAAGCAAACACAGAATAACTGTTCCTTAAGGAGCACCGTCTCCCTGCAAGAGTGGCAAGTGCTCTGGGCAGGAGGACAGAGGACTTCCAGGGGCAGGAATCTTACAAACCAAGGACCTGGTCCGGCAGATGGGTGGAAACACCCGGACATCCTCCTGGCTTTAATTATGGGCCAGCATTGGAGCTGCGATTCCCTAAATCTTTTTTCTGACCTCAAAACCAGCTACACCGGGCTGATGAATACACAGAGTTTACAGTTCAGCTTAACTCCTCGGAAACCACAGTCTGGATATCGCTGCCTTAGATACTGAGATTTTTTGCAACATTGCATCATACAGTGCCTGCCAAAACCTTGGCAAAAGCTGAGCCAGTCGAGGGTGCTTTGCAGGGAGTATTTCAGCGGCGCTGGTCAGTCAGACATTCCAGGAGTCCTGGTTGCCAGCAGATAAAATGGTATTTGGAATCTTTTCCTTTGTAGAAACACCGAGGTACCCTCCTTCCTTAATCGGTAAATAAAAGCAGGATGCACAGAGAAAGCGTAGCATCTTCTCACGACCAGCCACAGAAAATAACGGGAGAAGTTTTTGTTTCCAGTCAGTTCCAGCACAGAGCCGTTATGTACATAACCGGATTAGCCAAAGGGCTGCACACCCGCGGTTCCAGCGGAGCCGTGGAACGCTCAGGGATGCTGGGCTGCCAAAGGCAAAGGAAATGCCAGCGTTTGGCCCCGACGCTCAGCACCTGCTGATAAAAGCTAATTTCCCGCCCTCCCAGTTTTCAGAATTTACCCCTGCGATCCCAGCGTACCATTACAGACCCAATCACACTAAAGTAAACCTATTAAATTAAAATGAGGTGCACATGGACAACAGTCCCCACTCCCCTGAGTGTCATTTTGAGCGAATGGCCTGTTTCATAGTTTGTAAAATGCAGTTGGCAAGGGTTAAGTGTTATTCTAGGAAATCCGTATAGGCAACATTTCTTTCTCGTAATATAGCAATATCAAGAATATGGAGAGTGATTTTGCTTTTATTTTTTAAAAGGAAAACAGACTGAGAAAACATCTGTAGGCTAAGTCGCCAGGTCTTGACTTTTCTTTTGAAAAAGCAGTTAGCCTCTAAAATCAAAATCACCCATGAAGCAATTCCATCTGAACCAAGACTCTGTCTGAAGCATTCTCTTAAGAGCTTACTCATGATGAGAGTTGCATTTGCTTTTTTACTCCCAAATTAAATGCTGTAAGAACATAAACTTTACCCCTCTAATCTTTTTTCACCATTAATATCAGTCCATCTTTGTGGATGACTATTGGGAGAATTTTAAGTCAGCAAGATTCGGGGACCTAATTTGGACCGGGTGGGAGCTTAGAAAAATTCCCAAGGCTGTTTCACCCAACTGCAACAAGTCAGGAGGGGCTTGGGGGTCACTGGGGCTATCAGATCCAGAATGCAATTTTACAGGGGGAGGAAAGAGAAAACGGAGATTTGCTAGGTTGCTTTTCCTGATTCAGATTGGAAAGCAAGTCTCTTCCAGTCTCTCCTGTAGGAGCTGCTCTAGTTTGAACAAATAAGGATGTAGTTATTGGGTCAGAGATAGATGGAAAACTCCTTTACAACAGAAGCCAAATTATCCTCTTGGGTTGCAGGGGACTGGGATGTAAGATCATGCTCGTTCTGGGACTCCAATCTGGGTCTCCCATATCCCAGAGTATTCACTCTCCTGGGATCTTGTCCAGGCTCCCTTTTCCCTCCTTTTGGTGGATGAAACAAATCCAAGATCTCAGGCTCTTTCATTAGATGGGAAAACCATTTCCTAGCCAGCTGCTACCAGTCTGCACAAAACGCTTGGTCCTGCTCCCCCTCGTCTCTTGGTCCAACTACGCAACAGGACTAACACAGACCTGTGGGCTATTCCTATCTTGTTTTAAGCCAACGCTGAGGAACAAAGTGATACACAATCCTTGCTCAGCCTCTCCGTGCTGTACACGTTTTACCCTTCCTCAACAAGATGTAATCTGCTTAGGGTTAACTGTGTAGCAGATGTCCAAGATCTTTGAATCACACCTTAAAAGAGCTGAAAGACCAAACCATAATTGCAAGAGTAGAATCTCTGATTCACTGCAAACCATTTGTTATCAGCAATGAAGTTGATAAACGATTCATGATTTGAAAGCCCAGATTACTCACTTTTAACCACGGCAGAAATTCCTATGTGGTTATGAACGCCCGGGCTATGCATCTACTACGATGGGCTGGGAAGTCTGAATGTGTGAAATGACCAACCGTTTAATTACACAAAATAAGAGCTCTTACATATAACATACTTTTCATTCACAGTTTGTGGAAAAAAATAAAGTATTTCAATTTCAACTTGACTGATGCAAATACAAACATAAACTGACTTCACTAGCAAATATAAACACCAATTTTTGCTTTACTGGAGGCAACAGAATTACAACAGTGTAACTGAGATCCAGACCTGGTCTACTAATTAAAAAGGCTTGGAAGCAAAGCTCCGAGCTCATGGCACACTCTAGTTCACAGTAACTAAGGCTTTTGTCAGCCATTTGATGTAATCGTTTATGGTGTTCAAAACTGTATTTTTCCAAGACCATTCTGACCATAAACCAGATGAATCATGACCCTGTAACAGAAGGTAAATTATTCTCAAATATTTTATATTTGTGCATTAACACATGATTAGCCAAGAAAAAATGAATTCCCGAGTCCAAGAAGTAACTGACAAAAGACTGAAGGGGAAAACGAGAATCCTTAATTTTCATTTTATTATGGTGTAACCAGCTGTAAGGAATTACTGGTCTGAAGCACAGTGTGCAATTGTCCTATCCTAAACATTTACTAAAGCCTATAATTCAGAATGATCCTGACTAGTGATGTCACCATTGGCAAGCTATGATTTTTTTTTCTTTTTTAAGAAGTCTACATTTCTCAGCAATTAGCACAAACATAGGCACAGCCTATGCACAGAAATGCTCAAGCATTTCTGGAGACTATTTCTTTAATGCCAGCTGCTTTGACTCCGAGATCAAAAAAAATGCAGTAAGTTCTGGACTGATCATACTTGATAGTTTGCTGGTAAACAATAGAATTCCTGTTTGAATTCAAATGGCATCAATATGTATTATTTCCTAAATGCAGGGCAGAATGCTTGCTACTAATGTGAGGATAGCTTGAAAGAAAGAATTGCCATGATCTTATGCAAAAGTACTAAACACAACATGAAGTAACTATGCTAACAGAAAAGAAAAAAAAAAACACAGTAAGAGACTTAATAAATTAAGCTACTTTCACACTAGGATATTATGTACTACCAGGCAGCTGATTTTTTGAGTGAAGAGACTCATCAGGTGCCTAATAAGAGAAGATACTTGGCACAGCTCCATCGCCGCTCAAATAGATGTCATGGTTAACAAGCTGGCTACCATACAAGGCCAATCAGGCTACCGGTATTCCAGATTACTCACTAATGGCTTCAGCAGCTTAATGATTGCCAAGCATACAGTGCCATTAATTGGGCAAGAGAGAGGAGGAAAAAATATCCAGGGAGGAGGTAAGACGCCATTCACCTCCTGAGTAGCACAGCACCGAGTTGTCCATTAGCACGGCCTTTGCCGAGGATCCAAACTAGCAAAAGGAAATGAGATGGGCAGACTGAGGAGCAAGAGGAAGATTTCAGACCCAAGGCACAGTTCTTCACTGTAAAAAGCTGTTTCGTTCACCCGTTGAGTGCCAAGGCAGATGGAGGCCGACCCTTGCACCGCCGAACACCCCGCCGTACTGCCCAGCACACCTGGACACCGGGCTGTCCCCAGCAAAGGGGTGGTGGGCACCCGTCCTGTGTGCGCTGGCTCTTCCTAAACCACCACCAGCTACGGTTGTTCACCCAGCAGGGAAGAAGCTGAACAAGGCTAATTAATGATAAAAATACTTGTCTTTTGTAAATTTTATTTTTAGTTCAAAGTGAATCACAACTTCCTGCCCCTCCCTCTCCCCTCCTGTGAAGACATACGTACCTCCAGATCAATGCCTTTTTTTTTTTTTTAAGCATCAAGAGCATAACACATTTCAACTGCTGCTAATACAGGTTTTACAGTGATGATTTTTGTCAGAGAGATTGTTTATGCAACTCCTTAAAGAGCAAAAAGGAAAAATCCCACATGTGAATGCAGATAAACTTCTGGAACGTAAACACGCAATAAACATAATTACTGCATTATCAAAAGTATTATGCATTTATCAAAAGAGTTGAACATAACAATTTCCAACACATATTTGATATGGCCCAATCGTAATTTGAAGGGAGACTGTATACCCTATAAGGGTAACTGTATACCCCTATAATTTAATCACTCCTGCCATAACTTACAGATGCATTTGACAATATTGACGCCAAAAAAAGGAGGGTTTAGTTTAATTTTACCCACGCTTTGCTGATTTTTGATACTTGGCTTAATTCACTCAATACGTTCTATAAAGGTGTGTAAACAGTCCTGATGTAAAGACCAGAGAGATTTAAGAGAAATCAACAGATCTGGACTGGTCAATGTTAATGTCTTCATTAACTCAGATACCTTATTTATCCCTGAGCACCTTAAAATTGTTCCCCCAAATCTCACTGAAGAACATGTAACTATTTCACAAGAATGTAAAACTGCATTTGGATAAATCTGTGTCTTACAAGTCCCATTTTCCTTCACTGGTTTAAAAACAAAAAACAAACCAAAAAACATGTCCCCTCCCCTTTGTTTTTTACATGTACTGCAATACCTTTAAAAAAAAAAAATCACCCTATCAAACAACATCACCTACAGACACACTACAGACTACAAAAATATTGCATAGGAGTGTCAGTGGGCATAGTCTCACGACATGAGAGAAAATGCTAAGTTTTCTTTAAAACATTATGGCAACATTCTAATTTATTTTCCTTTTAAAAATCAAGTGGTTTCACTTTATTTCAAAATTGTACAAAATGGCCATGGCTGTTTTTAAAAAAAAGTCTCTGTCTTGAGAATACGTGAAGTCTCAGGTGCATTAACAAAAGACCTGGAACCATTCACAGTGCAGCAGAAAGCTTCTTTTGAGGCAGAAACTACAACTCATCCTTCTTCTTTCCTACTCTTTCATGGTCTCTTTCTCTCAGGGTTCGCATGAAAGCGGTGAATCCAGACTCCTGGTTTTGAAGAAAGAAAAATATGGGTCATATTTTTACAAACAAACCAAAACAACGCGTCAAGAACACTTTTAGTTTCTGTATCCCACTGCAGAATATAAACTAAGGAGCAGTTACTGCTTCTGTGTTGCCTCATTGTGCAGTGCTCTGGTCCAGTGCCACTCCGCTGCAATGCAAGGGGAAAATATCCATGCAGATTCCACATGTCAAACTTTGAAGAGATGGGACGCAGAGAGAAAGGCCCTAAAACTCACAGGACAAGGTAAAATCTGTCCCTAGAAGTGCCATTGATGCCTTTTTGTCGAAAACACTCAAAGACGTTTTCAAGCCGCATTTGTATGCTACATGTGTCATTTTGAAAGCAGTTAGTGGATCATTTGTTGGCTATACACACATTCGCCACTGTTCCTCATCCCTTAACAGTTTTGCTCGTGATCTTCCTCCTTTTCCACACATTCAGATAATGGGAATTACATTTTTTCAAGTTACTATCAAAATTATTGTCAAACAATTTCATACCTGGATGCCTAGATGCTGACCTCTGTATTTCAACAACTTAGGATTTCTGATTGTCTAAGGCTGTTGGATGCCAGCAGTTTCCTTTTCCAAGGAAAGCTCTGAGCACAACTCGCAGGCATTTCAAAAGGCTCAGATGGGTGGAGGTGCGAACACCTGTGTTTGAACACACTGTCTACTGGTACACCAACACTACAGTTGTCTGGGCAACTGATCCCACCCAATGGGACCATTTTTTACTTTTAAGCAATCCTGAAACACACCAGTCAAAACTGGACATAAAAAGGGAAAATACAAAGAGGTAGAGAACAACAAACAGAAGTCAAAGTTTGACTTCAAACAATGTTGGGGAACAACAAAACAAAACAAAGAAAACAAAATAAAACAAAACCAAACCCCAAAGCTGGGAAGCTTTTGAGAAGGTTAAACAACAAAACACTCTTCTAAAACTATTCACTATTTGAAAGCTAAGGTAGCTGGTGAGAAGGGAAAAAAAAAAAAAAGAAGTGACAAGTTTTGGCCATACGTCATCTGGAGACATCTGGCAATCAACAGCCCCCATGAAAAGACCCCAGTTTTCAAAGCTGTGTGTCTGGAAGTCATTTAAAGTACACTTGGGTCAGAGGGTGTCCTGATTCTTCCTTGCTCGAGTTGCTTGGGATGAAATGCCCTAAAATCTCTACTCTGGAACTGCAATTCCCTTGGAGGTGTGGAGGACCCCTTACAGGCTACTGCTGGGGGTCATGCTCTTCCCGACAGCCAGTGCTCCAGTGTGGGGTGGCAAGGAGCTGAGAGCTTCTGCTCTACTGGCCATGACTCCTGCTGTAGCATGTCATGTTGCTCCCACGGCAGCTGACATCCCTCTCCCTGCCCATGTGAAATGATGATAACAGTGAACTAAATGCCCACGGACATCTACTGATTTAGTGCCAGAATCAGGAACAGAAAACAGGTCCCCTGGCTCCCACTGCTCTCTCCTGAGATTTCTTTTGCAAAGTATGAGGTGGTCGGCCAAGGTGGTTCAAAAGGTGTTGTCATGCTGATGAGAAATCCTTTAACAGTGCAATCCCTTGTTACTGAAACAGATTTGTGATCAGACCTGGAAACTCCATGGAAGGCACTGTGCTAAGCACTGCCTCCAGCGTTACCATGATAGGAGATAACAAAACCTAATTTGATGCTGCACAAGCAGAAGACCAGAGGTCCCAGGAGAGGTGGAGGGGGAACACAGTTGTCAGCAGCAAAGAGATTGTGATGTTCCTGTTGGGTAATTTAATTCTACCCAAGAGGGTTGGCTGCACGTAGGGGATTAGTCAGTCCACTTTCCAGCATAGGGATAATCATCTCCCAACTGCTGTGGCCTCAGAGCACTCCCGTCTTGCTAAATTCTTTTTATCAGCCACCACAGATCCTTCCTTTCACGTATCATTTCTGTAAGTATGGGTTAGAAATACAAAAATTGTGGCTGAAATTTTACTTAATTGTTGGCTACTGCACCCATCTTTACTTTTAAGAAAAGATCCACAATCAGAACTAAACACAGTATCCATAACAATGCCTGGATCAGCACCATAAAATGGTAATTACTGGGGTCCTAATGCCGGAGAAAACTGGGAGGCGAAGCTCCATGAAGACTTCCCTAAGATCCTGACTGACAAAGAACCTCAGAATTTGGCTTTTTTCGTCATGCTTCTCTATAATTTAGTGAGCTGTAATAGCAGCAATAACTTTCAGGCAAGGCTCTTTTATCAAAATCACTGGACGGCTTGAAGACCCCAAGTTCTTCTTGCAGACCCTAGCTTCTCCAGGCAATCAATCACTGCTGAGGAGTAACCTCCCTCTAGGAGGTTATGACAAAGAATGCACACAAATAATTGGACTGCTCCCTTATTTTCAGACACTTTACAACCACGAAAGGCATTATGCCATTTCTGCCCCTTGTACTCATAGCATATAATTAGCTGACCACAGCAGGACAAAAGAATGAAACTTCAGCCCATGGGCTAGATGGCACAATTTGTCTTTCCATCCTGAGCTCCAGGAGTGAATCTGATTCAGGGCAAATGAGATATTTAGTTTCCCCCAGTCTCCAAAGGACAGCTTTGTCCCTGCTATAAAACGAATGGATTGTCACCATTTGGCAACCTGGCGGACCCATAACACGTTTGCAGTATATGTGCGATCCAGATCCAGAACTGATAGGAGTAAGTTCTGTATTTTCTGGCATTTCTGCACCTAGCAGCAGCCCATGCAATAAACCCTTCACTTTCACTCGGTCCAAATTCACTTGCAGACTTCAGCTTAAAGAATAAAATATACAACAAAGCATTACCAAATCTAATCCTTTTTCCTCTTCTCACGTTCCTAAAATAGAGCAAGTATGTTCCTAATACAGAGAGTACAGGGGTGTGGTACACAATGACTTCATCCATGTAAGACAGTAACAGAAGCAGTTAAACATCCTTCCAGCATGGTAAAAACTTACTCTGCAGTTTTCATTTGCAAGGCAGTACAGACAGAGGAGACCTGCCTCTCTGTATCAGGTGATGACTCTTGCTTTCACTTACCCCTCTTTCTCCGGTATATTTTTCCACAAATTTCCCGTAGTTGTAATAGTTAAAGGTGGGGTAGCCATCAACCCCCTCTTGCTTACACAGGTCGTGATTCTGTCCTTTGGCACAGTCCACTGCAGCGTAGGCGATCTGAAACGCAAGTGATCAGCATGAGGCAGGAGAAGACAAAGCAAGACTCTGCTTCATGGTTATGCTGCTGCAGCTTAGACTTAACACTAGGAGAGACCCAAGTCTTCCGCCAAAAACGCAACGGCTTTTGTAATGGCTCAGCTGTGGAGGAAGATCAGAGGGTGGTCATCAGGTCAAGCCACATGAATGGAAGAGCAGAAGCCTGCTCCCTCCCAATGAAACACTGCGCTGCTCGCACAGCACCTGGCCTACGCAGCTGCAAGGCACGTTCAACCCACACAGCAGAAAATCACCTTCCTAGCCTCCCCACTGAGCACTGCGTTAGATTCCAAATGGGAAATCCAGAGGCTGTGTTAGTAAAACCAAATCCAAGCATGGCAGTCACAGCTCTGTCACGCTGCAATATTTTTCCTGCACTTTGGTTTTAACTGATGAACAGCGGCAGGGTGACTTTGATAATGGTAATGACCCACCTAACCCAATCTCCTTCCTGTGGCATGGCTAATGCTTGGAAAAGTTACCTTTTCTGTTCTTGGACAAACATGGCTGGTCACTTATGCAGGCTATTAATAGATACCCCAAATAGCTTTTGTAAACTCCATTTGGTTCTCCCAAGGTCAAACAGGGATGGGTAAGAGGCCAGAGCATTGTCTACCAAGTAATGCACATAGAGAAGAAGGTTGCTTGCTTGCAATCTCAGCCTGGGTTTATGTTTCCTTTCCTGTCTTTTTTCAGTCTATCCTTTAAGGTAGGGACTGTATGTTATGTGCAGCCATTAGCAAAGTGGGCTTTAATTCCTTTTGAAACCTCTAGATGCTACTGTCACACAAACAAACCCTGAGTAGGAAACAGCCTGCCGTGCTCTCAGCCTGTTGGCAGCAGAGCAACACCCTCCATCCCTGCCTGCTTCAGCACAGGCAGAGCGAGGAAGCGCAACCTCACAGCCCTAGAGCATCAGCTCAGGCTAACCCTAGTTTAGAGCATTTGACATTTGAAACCTGAATCTGTGAAGTATTGAGGAGGGGCTGCACTTAACATTTCTGATGTTGAAACAAAATGCAATTCATAAGCTTCTACTTAAAGCAGCCAAGCCCTCTGCTGTGATTTCACACTGACTGTTCCCGCGAGCGGCAGTTCTGGCTCTGAACGTACACTGCTGCTTACGCAGGCTTGCCTTCACAGCCCCGTTACATGCTCTGCTGAAGAGCAAGCAGGTTTAAGTACAAGCTATGTAAAAAACCAAACAAATTAGAGGAATGATTTTTGCAATTGTGGGTTACAATGTATCAAGTGCTAATTTCATAGCAGACACATCTTAACTTGAAATTTCCGTTCCATGAGCCTCCTTCAAACAATCTGATCAAAATACCTTTCGCTTGCATGACTTTAGGGTTGCAGTTGAACTGTTCTTCCATAATTAAAAGATCACTTAATATTCCACAATGCCCTCCAGTTTCATGGTGACACTGTCAAAACGAGAAAACCTGATCTCATTATCCTAGCAGTAATTAAAGAGATTGGCAAAGCCAACTTCAGTTAATTTGCTTGTTTTGTTTTGGCTTTGAAAGCCTGACAAGACAATACTCGGTAAGATCTCGCTTGGGTCTATCTTCAGATGGAAAGCACTATCTAAAGTGAGCAGTGTTCTTACCTTAAATATTTGGTTTCTGTTTTCCCATTTTAAACATTAATAAGGCTATTACAGAAACAGGACTCTCTCGAGCTGTTAAACACATATGATCGATCTCGCTTGGGTCTATCTTCAGATGGAAAGCACTATCTAAAGTGAGCAGTGTTCTTACCTTAAATATTTGGTTTCTGTTTTCCCATTTTAAACATTAATAAGGCTATTACAGAAACAGGACTCTCTCGAGCTGTTAAACACACATATGATCACTTTTTTTTTTTCTTTTTTTCTTTTTGTAAACAGAAAGACTCCTACTCATTCAGGGCCAGTTAAAATGAAAAGTTAGGAACAATACACTGCAAAGAGTTTCATCTAAGTATTTATGCCTTCCTGACCTTAGCAGCCAGCCAAAATTTAGAGCCCTGTTGGCTACTTCTGTGTAAAGGAAAGCTTACGAGGGAGACAAACATTTATTTCATGTCACAGTATTAATGTAGAAAGAATACTGGAAGTCCTAGTTTCCTGAAAACAGGAAGAATAAATAAAACTCTTTTTTTTCCTCACTGCTCTAAATACCACACAGGGAGAGATTACAGCCAGAAAAAGGGGAAGGTATATGTGCACTCATCCAGATCTTAGTAGCTGGTCTGAGGCATGAAACTGTTGTGACTGATGACCCATCTGTTCTTAGATAGTGTCTCGGAGATTAAGAAAATTAGGTTTTAGTACATTGGAAGGAAGAGAAGCCCCCTTTATCTGTACCTCTCTGAAAACATCTAGACTGGCTTTCGTTGAAGCAAAGAGCCCAATTTCATTTACAAAAGGCTTTTGTGAGAATAGCCCCCAGTGAGGAGAGGGTGCAATGGAGGAATGCAATGCTATAAGCCACTGTTAACCTTGTTCAGCGCATCTTGTTACCTCAAAATAGATGACTGAGGGACCATAAGGAGGTGGCTTCTGAAAGAAATGCTTAGTAGTCTGCTTGAGATACAGCTCTCCTCTACAGCACATGGAAGTCTAAGCTGGTCCATCTGTCCATTTGCTGTGCACTGAAATAATGCACACAGATTCCAGTTTAAGTCTGCCTGCAACAGTCACATTAGCCTAATGCTATGCCTAATCTAACAGGTCTAATGGCGAGGGACACATCTACCTGGAGCAGTGTTTGGAGGACGTGTCCATGGTTTGCCATTCTCTGAAATGCTCCTGATGCAAGCTCCCACACAGCCCCATGGACTCAGCGCTGCTCCTGCAAACATCATTTTGAGCCCAGCTCTTCATACATTTACAGCCAGTCAGAGAAGAGAAACAGCAATCTTCAAAAGCCTTGTAACTCATACAGACCCGAGCAAAATTTCATAGAGAGACATCTAATTCCCAAGATTGTATCCGAGGCTGCATTTCAAATGCCTGCTGCCAACAGTAGCTGAGTAAGAGTACTTAGGAGAGCTTGAGTGATTACTTTAGAGTGGAAATGTTAAGGCAGCCTAAATATAGAGGTTGCTACCATCTCTATGCGCTCATTACCATAGCATCACAGTCCTAATTGTTTTGCCTGTCTCACAGCGGAAGATCAAATATAGTGCACTGCATGAAGAGAAAAGTAATGCTGAAAAACACTTGTAGCAAAACACGCTTCTGGACTGAGGACCAATTCCAACCTCAATTCTATCAACTTCAGACAGCTGAACTCCGAGACATAACCAGTATTTCAGCAAACAGCACCGATGCCCTTTGCTTCATTCTGTTTGTGTTTTCATGGACCGTGAATATTGAACTCCATTTCTAGTAGAGGAATCACCTGCAGCAGTTTTCAGTTAGGGTGAATTACTTCATGACTATACTGAAAGGCTGCACATAAAAAGATGCAGCCCACAAAAAGAAAGGCTTTGCTTGAGTCCTGGCTCAAGTCAGCAGTGATACGTTGCAGGGAGGTTTTCCTCTCATTCTCAACCTTCTTAGCAACGATCAGTTTTTCTGCATTGCTAAAGAAGGAAACTGAGTCAGGAAAAATAACAACCCAAAAAACCTCTACCAAAATGTGCTTAAAGACTTCTAGAGACTATTACTCTCAGAAATGATCTTCATATTCAACTACCAGCAACAAGTTAATGGAATTTCACTGGAAAGCATAGGTTAGCAAAACCTATATGCTTTGCCTTGTAAAAACACTAACTTTATTCAACCGGAAATTTCAGACAGATTAAGTGTAAGACATCCCTTAGGAGCCAAGACACTTGACATCACCTCTCATGAATTCTCTCTCATCAAGAGGGGGAAACAAACCTCTAAAAATCTGTGAGAGCAAGAAACTCTCCTAACGCTGGTGTAAAACTTAAGAGTGTGTGCGTGTGTGTGTATATATATATGTCCACTATGGAAAAACCCAGCGTAACAGCTTTCAGAAGACAAGATTGATTTTATGGAGATTTTGATTGTTAGGGCTAAAATTTAATTTCTTGAGCTTTCTTAACTTTCCTCTAACCAGAGGGAAAAAATCCACTGAAAAAACATTTCAGGATGAAAAAACCCTAAGTGCTATATCTGCAACACACACAAAACTCCACAGGGTTATGGATTCTCCATAACCCAAAGCTGCGCTGCCTTAGATATTGACAATACACCATTATATACAAGTTCTCTCTCCAGAGGCAATGCTGTTCAGGTTTATCACCATCCTGTTCAGTAGCTGTAGCAGGAATAGAATAGTTATCAAATGAAAAGACAGTCAATCAGAGACTGTGGACCCCAGAGGAAGTTCTTTGGAGTACATCCAGCTTTCTTAATGTTATTGGTAGTTCCTCACAACTGGTATGCAGCTTATAATAATTAATAATACCAGGTTAGTATGCATAATAATAATGCATAATAATTATGCATAATAATAACAATTAAAAAATAATACCAGATGAGTATGCATTTCTCCTTTATTCCATAGTCAGTATAGTTTAACACGACTCTAGCAACATCTTGGTCTGGAAAATATCTTTATCTGAAAAGGGAAGTCCCACAGCAACATTTCATGGTTTTACCAAAGAAGTGGAAGCTTAACTACAGAGTTGCAAACTTAACTCCACACGGCATTAGAATCTGAGCAACGTATGACCAGCTCTGAAGAGCTCTTAAAAAAGGAAATAGAGCATGGCATATTGTTCAGATGAAGTGGTCTGATCACGAACACCGAGCTGTTGCAAAAATCAGAACTTTTCATTTAGGCGCTTAAATAGAAGTGGAGCTATGCTGAAAATGGGACCATTGATCTCCGTGTGCCTCAACTGTAACAGAAGGACGATGCCTTGTTTTTTTTTACTGCGTAAGTGTTAGAAGGAAAAAGAAGTACTTGCAGTATCATCTAATCATACATCAGGAATCACAGTTCCCTTCCAACAGAATTACGAAACAACTTTTTGCTCTAGAGAGATCTTGCAGGTAAGGAACACAATTACATCCAGCGGTTCAAATAAATGTGTAGAAAATTGAAAGTGGGATCCCTTGACCTTCCAGGTAACTCCTCCTTTCTATTTTTAAACCTCTTTCATTTTAACAGTTTGTCTCCCAGTCACCATACGATGATATAGTAAAAATACCCCCTGCAATCCTAGTTGCTCTCCTATTAAAATATGTACTGCCACACACTGGTTTATTGATTCAAGGAAATAAATCTCTGCTGGAGCTAATATTGACTTTTGTTATGAAAATGGAAGTGAATAACTAACTGAATATTGATTTGAGAGAGGAATGATACATGATAAGCTTAAAAAAAATTAAAGTAAAATTGCAGCATGGAAAAGAATGCTTCCAAGCAACATTTTTAAAGTATAGTCAATTCCAGATGACAATTACCTGATTATTAGAAAAAAAAAGTCTGTTGTTGCCAAATGTCTTAAAAGCACCTAGGAATAAGACAGATGTGCATTCTTCTCTGATTACTCTATAGGTTTCTATTTATATTACCTGTTCTGGACCCTAACGGCAGTTACGAGCTGGCCTGCTAAAGCTTGTTGCAATCCAGCTACTGTTCTCAACGTGAAAGGCCTTGCAAATGGAAGATTCATTATTAGCTGCCCTGATGTGCCACAGCAGCATTACCATAGCTGCAATTCATCAGCTGTTCTCAAAGCAGGCCTATTTGCAAAGGGAAGATCCATTAGTAGGCACCATGATGTACAGTGCTAACATCACCATATTTAATGAGTCTAATTAAAAAGAAATTCAACACATGCTTTTTAAGCAAATAGGGATCAAATTCTTGGCCAAACTAAAGTATTAATTCATTTGGATAACTCTGTACAGTGATTTGGTTGGTATAATGATTTTAAACCATGGTTCAAACCATGGTTCACAATACACATTGGGGACTCACCAGTTTCACTGCTGTCTTGCACCCCAGCTCACCCCAATAGCTGCACTCTTTCCAGCAATCTCTGCCACAGCTGTTTCTGTACAAACTCACTAGAACCCAGTTGCAGTGCTTTGATTTAGGTCAGTGCATTTGTACAGGAACAGTCTTCTGTGAAAATGGAGAAGATTGGTCAAACAGCAGCCGCTTTGGGGGAGTTCCAGAGATTTGTTACTGAGAGGCCTTGAGGAGTCAAGAGCCTTCCTTCAGCAAATCGAAGCTGGAGCATCACGAATCAGTTCCTTCAAGCTGAACTTTAGGATCAGCCAAAAGGCAGAATGCAGATTTTTTGAAGATTTAGCTGGTGCCCTTTCAAGAGTCTCTGGAGTAGTTAGTGAACATGCCTTCCTGCTCTTCAATCTGTTCAGCAAAGTGACAACCCTCACATTTGCATTTTCTGACGTACACTGGTCATTGCCAAAACTCGAGCTGTGGAGCACAGGCCAAAGGCTTTCCCCTGGCAGCTGCATGCAAAGACCACAGTGCCCCAAGGCAAGAATGTTCCAGATGGCTTTTTTTCCCTTTTTCTTTTTTTTTTTTTTCTTTTTAAATAACTGAAAGCAATATGCTAACTGCTTCACTGGACTAGCCTCTCCACTGATCTGGTCTTACTGGCACTGAATTTCTCCAGGTACATGGAAAGACGCAGAGGCTCTGGTTTACGGGTTACACCTAGAGCCGTATTTTGCAATAGCCACACGACTGTCCTAGGCAAGCGAGCAGGCTCGGGATTTCTGCTAAAACCACCAGCAGTGATGTGGCCAACAAGAACTGACATTTAGGGCCAACGTTCCGAGCATTATGTTTTTAAACTCCAACTCCAGCAGTGCAGATGATGAAAAAGTATACAGCATTAACCACAGCCCCGGGGAGGGGGGGCTTCTGTGCCCAAACCACCCCCTTACAGTGAATCTGCAGAGCCAAAGACACGTATTTAACAGCTTCAAGCTCTGCTCATCTTCAAAATTCCAATGTAAAGACTCAAAGTCTCCCAAAGGATACCTTTTAAGATACCATTTATAACCAATCCAAGGCTGGAATGTTTTTGATTGTTCTTTAGCTTCTGCAGAATTAAATGTTTAATTAAAGGACCACCCCTGTTGAAAAGAAGATACAGTTTAAATGCTACCATACTCTGTTAAAGTGAAAAAAACTTTCTCCGGCTTGGGGGGGGGGGGGGGGGAAGACACTACTACAGACTAAAAATGAAAATTAGTAATCTTTCCCTGTTTTTGAAAGAAGAAATATTTCTTCCCTCTTAAGCAGTAATTTTACAGAAGTTTGAAACCCTACAGAACTACAAATTAGTCAAAGTTTGAAGGCTCAGCCCAGTTTGAAACATGGGAATATGCCCAGTGCTGCTTGTGGGAACAGTCATGTGCCCTTCTGAAGTCTTAAACACGTTTATTTTCTTTTCCACAAGGGCACAAACTGGCAGCAAGAAGCACCTTGGCAGGTTATGGCTGTACACAATTAAATAGGGCTCCCCAGATAATCAATCCCTGGCACTTTCATAAGTCACTGGGGTGGAATAACATCGTTTTCCCTAACTGCACACACCTCTCTGAAACTGTACCAGCCTTAATATTCCTTACTGGCTCTCCTGTTCCAACTCATTACATTTTATACCTCCCCACTTCAGCCTTAAACTGAAGTCAAGAGTTGCAACCGTCAATCACTGCTCTGCTCTCGGAGTCCTTTCATAATGTGCAGCCTGAACCAAAAGCTTCACAAGCCTGCATTTACCACCACCACCACGTCCAGTAAACTGTGCCATGATTCAGATTGCTTGTTAATACATCCTGGGGCTCTAATAAGCAAGTTTCACATTGTTTGGTACATTTGCTTCATCTCCTCTGACTGAAATTTTAATGAGTTCAGGAAAGAGAGGCTTCACTGGGAACTACCAGGAAAGTGGGAAAACAAGGATACTTTCTCAGACATCTTGGAAACAAACAAGTAACCAAAAGGTATCCGAGCACACAAATTTACAGCAGTAAGAGAACTGAAAGCTGCATGCCTCTAAATCTTCTGTGTGCCAGAGGGCAAAAGTGATGGACTTCTAATTTTATGCAGTCAGTGATGCAAGAATGATTTGTTTCTTGTCAATCTGATGCATCTTATGTGAGTTACAGAAAAGACGAGAGGGAAAAAAAAAAAACCCACGACAGAAATTCTTCTGTTATGGTAGCAGGCAGATTAATAGGGGTATAACTGTTACAAAATTACCTCTTCATTTAGAATAGAATATAGAATAGAATAGACTATTTCAGTTGGAAGGGACTGCCTGATCACTTCAGGGCTGACCAAAAGTTAAAGCATGTTGTTAAGGGCATTGTCCAAATGCTTCTTAAACACTGACGGGCTTGGGGCACTGAAGACCTCTCTAGGAAGCCTGTTCCAGTGTTTGACCACCCTCTCGGTAAAGAAATGCTTCCTAATGTCCAGTCTAAACCTCCCCTGGCGCAGCTCTGAACCATTCCCATGAGTCCTGTCACTGGATCCCAGGGAGAAGAGATCAGCACCTCCCTCTCCACTTCCCCTCCTTGGGAAGCTGTAGAGAGCAATTTCCCTATTAAATTGCCAAATCTTTTCCATGCCACACCTAAACACAAAGCAATCGTGAAGTTGGAACAAATCTGGAGATCAGAATGAAATACAGTTCACTCAAAGATAATAATGTTTCTAGCTAGTTATCTGGTTAAATCCAGTGGCTCAGGTGGGTGTTTTTTAATCCCAGATATGCACGCGCTCAGTTAACATGGTTCAGCTGGTGCAAGGAAATTAACTGGTGTGCTTCAGCCATCAGATGTATTTTCAAGACAGAAGCACGAGGGTCCTAGAAGGGCCCGACATCCTGCACTCAAGTCAGCCAACTTACAGAAATATATTTATGCTATGCAAGTGAAGATTAGTTATATGATTGAGGTCTTCAGGACTGTCACAAAACTTGTGGTTTCTCCACATGCACGACAACGGCTGATAAAAGTTGAAGGGGAATGGAGATGATGTAAATTATCTTTTATTAATCTTTCAATGAGAAAGAATGTGTTTCGCTTCATAGAAAAGAACTCTTACACAAAGAATTAAACAGAAAAGACAACAAATTAACAAAAACAGAATAGGTTAAAAGTGTAACTCAGTTTGACCAAAAAAGATACAACCCCTAAGATGCAGATACATTTCTATTAGTGCAACAGCAATTTTATCTACCTAAGCCTACCACCTTATCAATAAGCAAAGCCTTATAAAGTACAAATGGTGGAAAACATTCTTAAATATCTCAGAAATAATTAACAGCAAGTTACCTTTCGATCTTCTTTAAAGACTTCGGCAGCGGTTGTAAAATGTGGAATGGCATTTTTACAGTGGGGACACCCTGTTTGACACAGGAATAAAAAAACAGCATAAACATTAGTTGTAAATAAGATACTGGGACAAACTCAAGATGCAAGGTGAATTAGTGGGAAATTTGTTATTAAAAATAATTCTAGACAAGAATTCTCCAGTTCTGGGAAGAGGGGGACAAGGCAACTGTAGACCATGTGTCAGCTACACGAACTTAAGCACATGTTTAAAACCCCTCTGACTTCAAGCAGTTTAAGCGTATACTTACAGTTACATGACATCCCATATAGGGACCATGGTGCAGGGGGCTTTTCTCTATCGCCAGTCCCTTAAGAGCATTTTAAGATTACTAGCCATAAACGGACAAACCATTTCCCTGCTGCTGTACCTCCTCATGGGTATTACCACATAGGTTATTACTGCTGTTGCCACAGATACCAGCTACATTTGGACACGGGAATAAAGACAGCGCAGTTGTGAACAGGAGGAGGTTGGAAGTTGGAAAGGAAGTTGCCAGGACCGTTTAGAAGAGCTTGGGAATTGCCTGTGTTAGAGCCAAGCCATCGGGAACACAAGGGAAGGAAGAGAAGCAAGTCCAACAGGCTACACATCTTTCACTTACGGAGAGCAGAGATCCAGTCCCAGGTTAGGATGACTGCTGCTGGCCTTCCTGGAGACCTTCCTCCTGTTCACCACAAACGGGCAACCCCAGAAGTTTTACAGACACAGCACACACAAGAACCCCACAGCTTTGTGTGGGAGATGGGCCGATACTTGTTTGTACCACCGCAGCATTGAACAAAAGGCCAGTTCATCCCTTGCTTAAATATACACTAAATTTACTCAAACATTTCAGAAGAAACCACAGAAGGGGAACAAGAACTGCTCTCTCGATTCAAGATTCAGATGTGAGCGCTCTTAATTCAGAAGCAATGTTTATTGTCTATGATTAATCTAAACGACTCTCAAAATATCAATACTAAGTAAGGCTTTGAAAAGGAAAGTACCTGCATTACGTGTAACAAATTATTTTTTTCAAACATAAAGAGGTTGTTCCCAAGCAAAGATTCAGGACACTATTTTTTGCTTAGATGCAGGGAAAAAAGGAATGGACACACTTCTGTCAAGCCTGTATAATGCTAGCAAAGGCAAAAGAGTTCATCCTGCTAGTATTTCTGGATAGGAGCAGAACAGAGCACAGATGAGTTACTCACAAGCTGCAATTACAGCTTATGCTACTGTTGTTTACCAGTATTTCACAATGATGAACAAGTAGCTATGTCACTTTTAAGTCAGTACTGAACAAATGCCCTCTTAGGAGGCTTGCAGCCACCCTCTCATAAACTGTACTCCCTCTTTTAGCTGACAAGAAAAACAGTATCTGCGCATAAATACTGCACACCCCTTTCCACAAAGGAAAGGCTGAACACCCCTTTCATCTTCACCAAAATGCAGTTTCATTGCTTACATGCACTACTTTGAATTTTAGAGTATTTTTTTTCTTCAGAATAGGATTCTGAAAGCACTGCAATGATGCACATGCGTATAAATACATTGAGAGTCTATGCAGTAACTAAGAATACCGAAAATTCAAGGGGACATTTCCTGGGAAACTGAGGCACTTTTGCAAATCCATCCTAATGGCTCCAAACTCTTTATGCAGCATAATGGCAGTCTATCCTGATGGCAGCTGTGTTTCAGTGGGAGATAGTGCAGGTCCTCTACAGCTTGCAAACTATTAAGGTTGTTGAGTTGTTCGGCATTTGCCTGTGAGAAAACAGTCAAGAAAGAAAAGGAGGAGGAGGAAGAGAAGGAGGAGGTGGAGGAGGCTAGGGTTCCATCAGCCCACTTCGGTGACCCATTTTCTCTCTCACCACTTGCCTGTCCTATCTGCTGATACTGAAAAGCCTTCGGGTCAAGCCTGCCTCTTGACACATCTTGGATAATTTCCTGTACTGTGGGGTGACTGCCTCGGTTGACTTGTTAATGCTGCTCTACACAAATAAATCAGAACTGATGACATCTAAAAAGAATTCCCGAGAAAAATCAGGGCCCCTAAAACAAGAACACTTGTTCTAGTCCACATGCTTACATGCTGTAGTTACTGGAAAGCACTTCCAACTGTTACGCTAAAACATAAAGGCTCCTAAAAACTTAAACCTTTCAGGTTCCCCTTTCTGCTTATGATCTTAAGCTTGAAATTTAGATTTCGCCAAACAGCAACTTCCAAACCCTCAATAAAAGATATTTCAAGAGAAACATGAGACTTCACGTCTTCTTATTCCTCTCTAACACCTTTATGATACATCAGTCGATGTGTTTCCCACCTCGCAAGTGCTGGATCTGCAGAGGACAGGGCATTTGGTAAAGCCTCTCTCTAAGCCCCCACTAAAGTTGCAGCAGGTAAGAGCTCTCCATGAGCCACACTCTTCAAGAAAACCAGAACATGATTCAACAAATAAGCATATTCTTTCAGACACAGAAAAACCCAATGGCTATTAAAAACGCAAGCTGACATTTTACAGGGGCCAACAGATGGCGGGTAAGAAAACAGCCCGAGTGGCCGTTTAGCTGGTGACTGCTCAGAGGAGCATCAGCAGCTGCTCAATGTCCCTTCTACCCTAGCGAGTCACCAGTGCACATGCTGCTGCATAGTGTTCAATAGGTGGCATCGAGAAGGGTGTTGAGCTTGGTTCTCAGCAAAGATGCACATCTTGTAAGGCCAAAAGGAAGCATCCGACTATCTAGACTGTTACGGCATTTGGAGAAGGTAGGCAAAACCAAACCGTGCTTTGAGGTTGTGGTTAACACCACCACACAGAGGAGAGGAGCGCCGCGTAATTCAAAACAACTGATAAAGGAACCTATGCTCACAGCTTTTATTTCCTCTTCTCTGTGATCTTCTCATCTTCCCACTCTAATACCAAGTGACAAAAGTTACCTTCATTTACTGATCTGAAGCTCCATCCCTCCTCCCCTCACTTCTGTCTTGGCCCAACCTCCTTTCTTTACTGCACTGTGCTTGCAAAACTAAAACACAACCATATGGCTTTTGGTAGAGCTGACTCCAAGTCCAGTAGGCATTTTGTTAGCCTTGGACATCCATCCACAGAACAGATGTGAATGCTACGCTGAATTCCCAAGGAGTTTCAAGGAGTCACCGAAAAAGGGGGAAGGAGCACATCATATGGAATAGCAGAACTTCATCTGTTACAACTTAGAAGGATTGCCAAATGCAGCAAACACTTGGAAGTCACCCAACCCAGTCATTCTATTTAAAGCACACATGCCAAAAAAAATAAAAAGCAGAGGTTGATATCTTCATTTTGACAGACGGAAAACTTGTTCTCCCTATTCCCTCTTCACACCCACTATCACACATTTATTTTAAGTGTTAACACTATCTTCCAGATTTGAAAGTGCAAAGAAAGGAAATGTACTGAGCACTCTACATGAGGACAGGAAGTGTGCAGGCTCCTTACAAAGGATTTTCCAGATGGGCTGCAATAGAAAGAGATTAAACTGGTGGCATCTGAAGGTGTGGGTAAGGTGTCAAGAATCAAAAGGTCCTCTCCTTATCAGTAGTATTTATAGGACAGTAAGTCACTATGGACCAAAGAAGTGGGAAGATTAATTTCATTTCATTTCAGTTGAATAATTTGGGTGCTATGGTAGGCTCACAGGCTTCTTCTAACGTAGGTACAGGGCTTTGCTTTACCTATTTTCTTTCTTCGTTTTTACATAATTGTAAAATTTGATCACAACAGGGTTAACGGCAGATGTGAACTGTGCCTGCCTTGAGAAATCTGAAAGAAATCTGCTCCTAGAACATCCAGCCTTTCCACAGGATCCCAGCACTGGCGCTCAAAACCTTTAATCACTTCTGCAAATCTTGAGGTAACTTCATTTCCTAATGCAGAAACACACTTGCATCACCAGGCAGGAAGGCAAGAGAGCTTGACATCTAATACACATGCAGTAGCATGTGTTAAGGCTATCCTTGGTTCCCAATCAGCAAATGACACAGCTTTATTACAGCTCTGGCCAGACGTTCTCACCTCTCTGTGCTCAAAATTTTGCACTCTGGAGGCCCCCCCATGCAGCCTGTGGTGGTATCTGCTCTGCCTGACTGCTGAAGCCTGCTGGGTGATGAGGGCTGCCTGCTTAAACCACAGGTCTGTGGGTCCATATGAGAACACCTGCAATAGAGGGGTTCTAAGTTCTCTTTGCCTTTGCACTACAAATTTAAAATTTTACATGAACCCAGTATTTTCTACAGGTTTTTTTCCCACCATTCATGCTGTAAAGTTGGTAAGGGCTGGGAAGGCACACTGAAGTACAGTCACAGTGGGCACCGTCACATTCCTCACCTTGAAAACCAAGTAGTTCTCGACTGATCCAGTACATGAAAAATATGGTTTCTGTGGCTAAAAATTCAATGCCGATGAATAGCAGATGAGGGAAATCAAGTAAGCAGGCTTCATTCAGACCCATCATCACTGAGGGGGAGATGGAGTGAGATTCCTCTAATTAGAGAGGCATTTAAAGGAAAGCTAGTGGGTCTTTTGGGAGATGAAGTGATGGAAAATTTATAGCCCAGCTTATTTTCCATGGACTGAATTTACTGATAGCAGGAACAACCGCACAGTACAGCATCTTCTCTGGGTGTCTTTGAAGAAAGAACCAATGAGGTAGTGTTGGTTTGGGCACAGAAAGGTGTTGGAGAGGCCATCACAGAAGCTGGCTTCATCCTCATGGATGAAGTTTGAGGACTCTGAAGAAATTAAGAACTGCAGGGTTCCAGAGCTGGATGTGGTTTCCAACATGATGCCACAAAACATTTGTATACATGACGTAAAACAAAGATATTGCATGGGGAAATAGAAAAACTTACTAAGTGCTCACACCACCTTGCAAATGTTTGTGGGTTTTTTTTTTTAAACAAAAAGCAGACTTAGGAAAAAACAATATAAACCCATTTGTCAGGTAAGGTAAGAAACACACAAAACTGATATTAAAAACCAAGTGCAC